CTTCACTGGCGTTTTTCTAGTCACTTAATGACAATTTTGCATTTCTGTATTCTTGCCTCTGATAATGTTTTTTTTAATTTTCACTTAGGACAGTCTTCCGCAGAAAACTGTCCCAGGGGGGCACTCTTTGAAGGTAACTTGTTCTAAAAACCAAGTGCTCTGTGGAAGCCGTTTCCGGCTCCCTAGTATGATAGTCCATACAGCACGTACTAGGAGTAACTGTAACTGTAAGATATTAGATGTTTTCTCCAAATTAAAAGCACGAAGTTGCCATGCGCGGGGACAAAACATTTCACCCAGTCATGTAGATTAGGTTAGTGAACAGATGGAGGGAAACGCTGCCAGGTTATCCGGGGTCATAATAAAGAAGTAGAAATTAAGGACGTGGATTTGAACCACGAAGTTTTCGTTCAGGAGATCAGAGCTAGACCTTGAACCATGTGTTGGGTCATATCCAGTGTAGCCTCAGCATCGCGTAGTAACTTCCGTTCCAGGTAGGGTTAACTTCTCACGATGGTCTGTCGGAGCGGATACTAGTTTTACACGACTACACAGTACATTATATCCATCTGGACAGAAACGTAGGAAAAGAGTTTTCCACAGCTATCTGATGTGGACAAATTAATAGGGTACTCACTAAGGTGAAGGTGCTTTTTCAATATGTATGCTGAAGTTGGGGCAGCACACTCCGACAGCCAGTTGTTTGATGGATATGTGGTTAGTTAGTGATTTCTACTCGAGCAGTGATGTTGGTGAGAGAAATCATAGGAGTTTGTCACATTGGGGGGTTGGTGCAGTGGATGAGACGAACAATGGTTCTTTGCAATCTTATTGTTCTGTGCTGTTCATGTTCATGTAGGTATTACCCTTTATTAAAAGATATTTGTATCATCAGTATGAACTGGGATAATACTGAATTACATCTTTATCGCCGCAACTCTCTCCACGCATGCAGGTCCATATGGTTGTCATGCACGGCAGTAGATATCCACTGGTTTGTGGCCTATGTAAAGAGCCACTGGTGAATTTGGAGGTTGATGGCGCCGTGTTTAGAGAATGTTTGAATATATTGGAGAAGAATGGTGTGTGTGTCACGGAAGAGAAGCTTAGAGCGTTAATCAGCCCGGAGCCAGCTTGGAAGATAGTGTACATGGAGCAAGTTGAAGGCGCACAAACAAGTAACAATGAACCAACGTATACCATCGAAGGGCTTGATGAACTAGTGAAGGGCACCCAGGAGATCGAGGAGTTACGAGCGATCCTAGCCTCGATGAAGGCCCAAGTGGCAGTTGCGACCTATTCTCCAGAGCTAGCACTCCAGGCTATGCAGTTACATGAGCAAAGACATTACAAAACGATCCGAGAGCGTTACCTGCCCGATGTAATTGGTGAAGGGTTTGAGAAAGAACAGATAATGTTGAATATGCAGCTCTCATGCTTGACTCAAGGAGTCGGTCCGACAATGGCGCAACAGTACAGAGAAGTATACCTGGCTCAAAGTGAACAACATGAACAGCAGTTGCAACTGAGGAAGATCCGTTTCGGCATGGATGTTTGGGAGAGCTGCGTAAGTGTCTGTGTCATTGTTAGATGATTGTGCTGTCATAGATCACTTCATTATATTAGCAAGTCATACCAGTCTCCGACTATCAGCAGTTGAAAAGCCGGATCGGCACAGTTGGAATGGAACCCACGGATCTCTGCAAACCTAGGGGTAGAGCTGGTCGACTGGGGATACTTTTAATTAAAAGATGCTAAGGGCTTGTGCACGGTAGTTTAGGGAAATAGAAAACTAATTATTACGACAGGTAGATTTTGCAACGGCAGTCTAATACGACACTCTCGTCCTGAGTGGGGCTCATACGCCAGATGTAAGGGATACGATTGCCTTATGTTCGTGTTCCAAATCCACACGGTTATCCCCAACATTACGAGCTCAAAAATGTCGGTACCCAGCATCGGGTATTTTAGAACTGACCGGGAAATGCAGTAACTTTTGACTGCACCGAAAGCTGATATCTTTGAGATCATACGAATAGGGACAAAAATGATGTGACTTCGTTGACGCAACATTACTCATAGTGCTGCTGAAAACTCTTCGGCAGCGTTGACTCGTTTAGACTTCCTGGGACTCATTAGGTTGGCAGTTCTCGCCATTTTTACTCTTAAATTGTGAAAATATGCACCCGAAAACAGATCTGCAGTGGCTACGGCCTGCAAGCACAACGCATCGAAAAAAAGTAGTATCAACAAGACTGACTGCAAAACTCTTTGCCACCTTACTTAAGAATGCTATGTAGCACGTAACAAGGTTGTACACAGAGAATTTGTGACACTCTTGGAGTATTATAACCACAGATGGTTGGAAGTCTTGGTTGAAAGTGATCAGTTGATTGAGTGAGTATTCCTCAGTGATTTAGACAGTAATTCTTATAATGGGAAAAGATTGAACAGAGGGACGGATTGGAATCCAACCACCTTGAGATTTTCGGAAACGCGAAACGTGAGCAGTGGCAAAATTTACCTTCGCATCGGTGAATTTTAGGACGTCCACGTAAATCAGGGAAGCTAGAGCTTTCGAACTAAAGACTAGTCAACTCAGTTTCAAATAAGTTAACCGACCCGGTAAAAGAAATCCCCTCTTTTCCATAAAGGAAACTACTCACAAGGTTGCTGAAAACTCTTCGAATAGCATTCGGGATAAAAGCATTAGGAAAGCGAGCACCATTTGAAATCCACAAAAGACGCTTGGAGTGAAGTGAACATACATTTCACCGACTCACGAAACTGTCACTATGCGAATAACCCACAAATTGCGGAGATCGGTCCTGAGACAAAACCAAGGGCGAACAGAGCGGCGATTTTTGGTCAGCCCGTCAGAACACAACATTTGCATCAAGAAGAGTTAACTTCTGCTGTTGAACTGTTTTGCTGGCAGTACTGATCCCACAACGACTGAGATATCATGAGGTGTAGCAACCCGAAACTGCAACTCAGTGATTCCAAACCGAAGTGCTCGGAAGCAGACGCAATGAATTAAGTCAAAATATCATCCGGACTAGAGAAATACAGCAAAGAATATGCAGATGGTCGTCGTAACGTTACCATAAGGTGTTTCTACACTTCTCAAATTGGCTTTCACGAAAGACTCAACTGGATCTCTCGTTTATGATATTCTACAACTGAATGTGCTGCACGCGGGCCGCCTCATGTCTCAGTTGGCACGATATTCGAGATATCGCAGTATATTTCCATAAAGGAAACTACTCACAAGGTTGCTGAAAACTCTTCGAATAGCATTCGGGATAAAAGCATTAGGAAAGCGAGCACCATTTGAAATCCACAAAAGACGCTTGGAGTGAAGTGAACATACATTTCACCGACTCACGAAACTGTCACTATGCGAATAACCCACAAATTGCGGAGATCGGTCCTGAGACAAAACCAAGGGCGAACAGAGCGGCGATTTTTGGTCAGCCCGTCAGAACACAACATTTGCATCAAGAAGAGTTAACTTCTGCTGTTGAACTGTTTTGCTGGCAGTACTGATCCCACAACGACTGAGATATCATGAGGTGTAGCAACCCGAAACTGCAACTCAGTGATTCCAAACCGAAGTGCTCGGAAGCAGACGCAATGAATTAAGTCAAAATATCATCCGGACTAGAGAAATACAGCAAAGAATATGCAGATGGTCGTCGTAACGTTACCATAAGGTGTTTCTACACTTTCATTGAGCTTATTCTCATTGTGTTTTGACGCCACTTCCTTCATTCCACTATTCTTGGGGGTATTAGTTTCGTTTGCTCGTAAGAGCTGCTGAAAAAAACTCTTCTTTTCGATGACTTACGAGGAAGCTATGAAGATCAGCGGGGAGAATAATCTATTTTCTTCAAAAGTTCTATGATGCGAAGAGCCTTAGGCAGACAAGCTCTACAACATCAGAAGCTATCGGGGTTCATCATCACGATCAACTCTAAGAACCGCGTACTCGTCATACAGTGGTCACAGCTGCCAGTTTTGTTCACAGATGATTTGGGAGGTAGGGCAGATAGCTGCGCATTACAGGTGGGAGCTGACAAATTTGTGCGTGAAAACAGATCTGTCAGTGGACTGTTAAGTGAGAGGGGTTGTGAAGGGAGCTATGCATTGAAAGCAATAGCTTGGGTGCATGAGCGTCATTGAGGGCGCGACTGGGCCATGTCTGACAATGTCTTTAACCATTGATATGGTCAGTCTCGGGGTCCCCACCAAAGAAGACGGCAACGACCACCAAGCACACGCACTGTTGATGACCTCTAATAAGAGCTACGGTCAAGTCCAGCGCTTATCTTCTTTGGTGTGAACTCACTAGCTGTGTTTTCTGGTACTGTATACTTTATCTGATACTTTATACTTTGTCACCAAGTCATTGTTTGACCTCCCCGGGGTTAGGACACAATTGAAACTGTTGGTGTAATTTTCAGACAAGAAGAGATGATCACAAGTTGACGGTTGGGGGGATATTGAATGCTCGAAAGACTATCGTGGACACCAAACACAAGTCTTCACAAAAGCTACCAGAAGAATTGAGAAGGATCTTCTCCACGGCTCGAACAAAAACATCCAGTAGCTACGAGGATGAGTGAGGAATACTGGTCATAATGACAAAAAGACTCAAATCCAGTCAATCTGAGTAGGTGTACTTTTTGATTTTCTCAATAGACAGAAAGTTTGATAAAAATGACCAAACTCTATTTAATGTACATATAGACGTGTATATGCATATGCTCAACTCTTTTGTTGTACTAATTTAACGAAGACGGTCGATGAGCAATCTAAAACAAAAACAAACAAGGGAGGTAGGAAGCAATATGTTGGGATTCTAGTCCGAATTATCGTGATGAAAGCGAGACGGAAACATCACATTGGCCAGTGCGGAGGAAGTAAGACAAAATAAAACAAAAACGAACAAAGCAAAAAATCTGGGGAGACGGTTGATAGACATTGAGTAAAAGTCGTGAGCTTTCTTTCCGAAGACTGTTTGCATTTTGAGAGAGAGAGAGTAGGGGCTAGAAAACTTTGGCGCTGGTTGTCTTTGTTGTCATAAATTGTGTGGCGAAGAATCGACCGAAGATATGAGTCATACGGAATATCAGGCATGTCTTTCATTGAGTTTCATCAAGACTCTGAAAAGTGAATACATCAAGAAAGTGGTCAGAATTAGACAAGGGTGACAGTATCTTACCTATGGGATGAAGGTTGACTGTATAAAAAAGTCACATAATAAAAGCCATTTTCGATGTGAAAGCTGTTGTTTCGAAAGACGACGGTGAGGGAAAGTAGCTGTCACCGTGCGCTTGACCTTGAACTCGGTCTACAAAATTCAGTGTGATCAATTACTAAACCAAGTTACAGGTGTCCAATACCATAGTTCAACTAAAGCAGTTTGGACATTAAAGAAAAAACCCTTGTGTAATCTCTGAATGGGAGTGCTGCTTCACCAATGTCCGAAAAAAGACCCAAGATATGAACATCACACTAGAGTCTAAATCAGGCAAATGCATATCACATTTATCATTCCAGGTGTTGATGGTGACTGGTTGATTTTTGTGGGGATGACTGGTATGGATAAGAGGAATACTACTGTGTTAAACACTTTTCTTGTGACGGAACTTGACTGACCATTCCACTGGAGGACCTAATCTCCAATCAGCGTGAGCCAAAAAACTGGGGCACATTGGACGCCATACAACTAGCTGGTACAATGCAATGAATGCTTTTGAGGTCATCTGTTTGGCTTGATTCTCCCCGCTGTTGAGGAAAGTACTGATTCGACTCGGTTTGATACAGCAAGAGATGCCAAAGATTCATGGTGCCTGGAGTGAGTGCATGATAGGCTAATGGGGCCACTCTATTAGTCTAGTTAACAGTCACCCTTAGGTGCATTGAACATGGGCGGTGCCCACGGATTGCAACAATAAGGTCTACAAATCATCAATGAAGTGTTACTGAGCACAATTAGCATTCGCTAACGAGCAGTATAACAGCTCAATGGACTCGAACGTCCGGTAATTATTTTTTGGAAGTAGACCAATTAGTTGACCAAGCTGAGTGAGAGTCCCTGGAGGGACAGTCGCTCTCAGACAATCCGTAAGGAGGACGACGGCCGAGATGCTGCCAAGTTGTCCAAGCCCATATAGAGTAAGACAAGAAATCAAAGGTGTGTGTATTCGGGTCTCAACCTTGAATTTACTCCGAGTTGAAGAATTAGAAACCCTTGTGAGAGGCTCAGTACGCTGACTGTTGGGCGAGGGTTCCTACTCTGATACAGTAGCGCACCTTAACAGACAGAAACGCTTATTCAAGTAACCTTGGTAGGTTGACACCAAGCCGGGAAAGGAACTTCAGCGTAGCGTTCTCATTGAAATATTCAAGGTCACGTGTGTTCAGAAGACGTACAATGCTGCGCCTCTCCGAAAATAAGGGAAATTTTCAGTTCCTGACGGATGGAGTGTAAGGACACCTATCCCCGCCCAAAACACTAGATGGGGCATTGACCTCAAATGAAGCAAAAGTAGGACAAACTAATAATGGAGTCAGTCACAGAAATGTAAATTTATTCGTAAACAGCCATAAGCTGCGAACCGCATCTCCGAAAAATCTAAAACAACACAGTGTTCGAAGATCGGCATCTGGATGGCTTTTGAGTTTGATTTGCCCGACTTAGTCCACGTGACATTAGACTTGCTGATGCCAGTTACCATAGTTATCACCTTATCCATCCGTTCCTTTCAAGTTGCTCCATCAAGTTGGTAATCCTTCATTCGTAGTAGCACGTAGATCGGATCGATTTCTGAATGTCGGTAGATCCAGTTCCAGATGGAGTGCCATTCCAAGATCTCTAAGTTTTTACTACACTGAATCTGTGTACTTCTAGATCTTCGTGTATTGGAACCATGGAGAGTAGATCATGCCTTCTGATAGCTGTGGTGTGTACTTTTGTTCGTGTAGATAGATAGCTTCAGTCCTGTTTGTCCAGCATAGTATTTGCGGAAGTCAATGCAGCTACTTACGTAAACAACATTGTTTCTGGTATTCTGGTCGATCTTGTTCTTCGGTTTTGAAATCAAATCCCTCAATGTTTGTGGGCTATGAGGGGAATAACCCCACTTAGACCGGTTTAGTTCAGCTCTGTGTGCACAACCACACATCAATACCATCAAGCATCCGAGTTCTTTCGAAAGAATGGATACATGTTGCGCGAAGGTGGTACCTGGGTTGAAGCACTTCTGCTGTGACTGTTCAGTTAATTTTTTTAGCAAGAATAAGGTGGGAACACCAAAAACGGGATACGTTCGGCGACATCTGGATACACTTACACCCGGACCTGAAAAATCGCACTGAGATATTACCTTACAAGGTGAGTAGCTGATAAACTGCATGCCAAAGTGTGAGTGTGTGTGAGACAGAGATGTACCGTTCTGCAAGCTGTCAGAGAAACTGAATCTACAGAAGTTTGCTTGCGGACAAACCACTTCATAGCATGCAAACGACCCACGGCGTGTAGCTATCAGAGTGCATGGGAAACAGCTGAACTGTTTATAAATTTGCCACGAGCTCCAGGTGAAGAATAATGGTACAATCTAAACAAAAGCTTCGAATATTAAAAAAAGATGAATGGGTAGGACAGAAGGATGATAGCGACATGTTGAAAAAGCCCACTTCGGACACTTCACCGGGTTGTGCAAGGGTGTGGAAAAGTACGAGTGAGGATGTCAGACGCATAGCAGAAACGTTTCTCTGCCATTCGAAAGAACTGCAACAGCGCTAAGTGAAAAAATGCTAGCCAGCGCGTTTCTTACACCAAGGTAGGGGATAGGTAAGCATTTATGTGAGGGACCAGGAACTCACTTTGTTTTCGGTTTTTTCGAAACCACCAGGTGGGTCGACGAAGCACCGAAATCAAAGAATCGAATGCCGACGCTGGGCTGTAATTCGTTGACGATGGCGCATCACAAATGGAATCGGTGTGATTGTGGGTAATTCCTGGCTGAAAAATACACACGATGGAAAAATAAGCGTCGATTGAAGAATTCTGGAGGACTGCACTGTTCTAGGCTTCCCCGCCCACTGGTACCTACCGGTTTTGAATTTTATAATATATAATAAATACTTTGAGGAATATATATATATA